TACTTTTCATATACACTTATCCCTATATATATAATTTTATGTTCACTTTGTAGGTTTTCATTTATTTTAAAATTGAAATTGGTCTTGTGATGACAAGCAAAGTGGGCAGAAAAGAATTAAATTTGAGTGGATCTGCAAATAAATATCAGAAATATATATTCAATAATTTATATAAAAGAGAAAATAGAATCCTCAACTGGTTCCATGAAAAATAGTTATGTTAGATTTAAATTATTTATTATTACTAAAAATGGATAAGATAAACTATCTTGAGACCTGAAATTTATTGATCAACTAAAACAGATAAACAAATAAATAAAAGATAATTATTGTTATTTCTAAAAAAAATTGAAGAAAATTGTTGATTATAAAACAAATTTTTTTATCTTAGAATTAATGCATAATGTAGTCTTCTGAGATTTTGCTGAATGTATCATTTGATTTAATAAAATCTAATTGAAATGTAAAAAAAAATAAGCAAATGTTTGAAATTTTTTTATTTTTTTTAAATCAAAAAGAAATTTTAAAATATATAAATATTGACAGATTTTGGACTGAGTTTGATGTATCAAAAAAAATTATTATTATAAATAAAAAAAAACATTTAATAACATTAATTCAACTAAACCTTTTTTAAAAAAAGCCATCTAAACTGACTATCACTTGTGTGATTGATTCAATCATTAACACTAAGAAACAAATAATTTCAGAATTATTGAAATTAATGCCATTGAAATAAAATAATAATTTTTTAAATGTAATTAATTATATAGATAAAAATAAACAAGACTTAGCTATTTAATCATTTCTTTGTATGTGAATGCCTCCATCCATCAAATATTCATGATGGTCATGATGATTATTTGATACATTTGATATAATTGACATAACAAACAATTGCATCACCTAGGTAGTAACAATACCAAGGCCATGCAAAAATGAAACTTTTAATAATGTGTGTCTACCCAGATCTCTGGGATTCACAATAATAAATTATTCTTCCTGATTATCAGTTATGGTAGCTCATGAATAATAAATCTGATGTTGATCACAGGTGTCAGATTTAATTAAAACTTTCCTGTCACAAACATGTAGTTGGGTGCTTTCACACGCCTCATAACTATGGAATTTTTTTTCCACAGGTGAAGGTCCCCAATGTTGGAAGGCTTTGGACAAAGCTTTCCCTTATCTTCCTCTCAGACCAGGCTTGGCTGTCACTATATGGGCATTGATCACTGATAGCTGGTGCTTGTGTGATGATTGCTGTGTGTTATTGCCACACTAACATAAAAGTTGGCACCTGCAACTGGTTGAAAATTCTCCAACTCTGGAGGTTGCAACCTGGGTTGCTGTTTTGTCAGTGGCATGCCTGCTGACTAACAACCCTACCCCCATTTAAATAACAAGTTCAGTTGATCAAATAAAATTTAGAGAAATAGAGAATTTATGAAAATGATTAATTTATATAAAACATACCAAAAAATATCTGAACCGTCTTATTTTACAGCTTTCCTCTTAACATCAGAGTCCAAATGCAATTTCGGGGTCACCAACCCCACTCTGAATTGTAACTTCCTACACTTGAAACAAGTTGCAGATTCTCGTTGCTTTGATGGATCTGGATATTTATGCACACCTAATATCACAACTCCAAAATGCAACTTGGTCACAGAGCCATCCTTACCCTAGAGGTGGGATCGTTGCAGGAAACTTTTCAGCTAGCGTGCCAGCAGTCTTCTCTAGTCTGGATGCTGTGAGGGAAGATTAGTGAA